TCCTTTCCTTTCCTTTCCTTTCCTTTCCTTTCCTTTCCTTTCCCTTCCCTCCCTTTCCTTTCCCTCCCTTTCCCTTTTCCTCTCCCTTTCCCTTCCCCTTTCCATGAGTCCTTCATATTTTAAGATTGTGAATTTTATGGATTCATTTCCATGGTTCGGTGCTTTGTGGGACCTTGGGAGTCCTGGGTGTCATCCAGCCTTGCCTGGTCCATCCCTGGGGCACCCAGCCTGACCTGCAACACCACCAGCACCTCCTAATCCATGGGAACACCGGCACCTCCCTGACACAGACCCTTCCAACAGACCCCTCTCCAGAAAACCACCCAAACAGAGTCAATCCCGATGCCTGCACACAAACCACATCCCAGGAAAACCTGTGGAGCCTGAGCAGGACACATCACACCCCCTGACCCACCTCAGAAACGATTTCTAAACCAATAAAATCTCATTTTTTTCTCCTCAGATCTTTCTTTTCTTTTTAATTTTCTTCGCACGTGTGAAGCCTGGAAACATCTCCCGAGCGACTGAGCCGCCAGCAGATACCTCAGCCCCTGACTGGTGCCAGAGCACGGAGCCAAACCCTGTTCCCACAGGCAACTGCCTCTTTGGAGCCTCCTGCCTCAGGCACAGGCACTGGATGCTGGGGGGGATTCTCTGCTTTTAAAGGAGAAATTCAGAAATCAGCCCAAGGAGATGATTTAGACTCATCATCACCCACTTGTAAAAGAGTGGCGAAGGAACACGGATAAAGAGCCTGGAGAGCCCAGTTCTGCTCCATGCAGAGATGGATCCGTCAGGCAGAGCTGAAAACACACATTTACAAAGCAAACTGAAGCCCTGGCTAAGGCTGTGGGCCAGCAAAGCCCAGCTGAGACATGCAGCCAAATAAAACCTCGAGTTCTGTGCTAAAGCCTGGATTTGCAGGCTGGACTTTCATTCTGGACCTCACAAAACATCCCTCAACCTGCACGAGCTGATGGTTTTCTGGGCAAGCTGCAGGAGAAATTACAGAGCCCTAAACAAAATGCTTGACGTGGGGAAATAAATGGATATAAATAAGAAAAGAGACACAGCTCAGAGAGAAATCCATGGCACGGAGAGCAGCAGCCTGTGTGACTGCAGGAAAGGATGCTGGGATCTCCAAAGAACAGAGGATCTGGCCTAAATTTAAGCAACCCACCTGCCTCAGCTACAGCCAAAACCCCAGGAGGGCCCACCTGCGCTTCCCAGAGCAGCAGTGGCAGCTCCTTTACAGTGGCATTGAGGGATTTTGGGGCACACAACACAAACACCTCTTCCTCAGCACCTGCCCCATCCCCAGCACCCTCCCTGCCACACATCCCGTGTCCCAGCTGTGATCTGGTGTCACCAGACTTTTTCTGCCGAATTCCTTCAAAACAAACACGTTTCCAAGTTTTCCCATGCGCTGCCTCGTTGCTCTCTTTGATTAATTTTTTGTTTATTTAGCAGCTTCAAAGCAAGGAGGGGAGCAGATCACACACACTGCCACTGTCGTCCCCCCCCCGCCCCCGGGGCAGCCACCAAAATCCCATCATTGCTGGCTTCCAGTCTGATCCCAAACCCGGGATTGCAGGCCACAAAAGGATTAGAACCCTGCCTTTGGGATAATGGCTTTGGGAGGGGGCTGGGGTTGCTCCTAATCTCTGCAGTGCTGGAGGAAGGGTTTGGAACAGATTGTATGTGAAGACATGGTTTGTTTGTTTGTTTGTTTTTCTCGGATTTGTGTGTTTTCTGGCCGATTTCACTCTAATATTTACTGGTTTGGAGGGGAGGAAGCAACCCATAAACAAGCAGGGCACGAAAGCAGAGGGAAGCAGCAGCACTGCAGAGAGAGCCGGTGCATGAGCACGCAGGGATCCCGGCCAGGCCTGTGCCGCAGCTCAGCATCATCACCATCACCATCATCATCATCATCAGCCCTCGCCCACCACCACGGCCCAGCTTCCACCCGGGAAACAATGCCCAACCTTTAACCCGAGTATGCTGGGAAAACATCCGCTGCTCCCAAACAATGGCACCATTTATCGAGAGCAACAGGCTCGGAGCTGCAGGGAAATCAGCTCCCCTAAAAGGGATGCTGGGAAAAAAATCCACAACTCAGGATTTTTTTATTCCCCCCCCCCAGGCAGCTAAAAATGGAAATTCACTTCCACAAGCATTTGCTAGGCTGAAAATATTCAGTGAAAAATCCTTTCAGCTCTTCTGTCTGCACATACAAATGTTCTTTGTATTTTCCCTTTCTGATGTATTTTGCAGTGTGAGATATTTTGTTGTGAAACACAGACTGCAGTTGGAATTAAATGAGGTGGGGGTAGGAAAACGAGGATGAGGTGCTGTGCTGGGCAAGGCCCTGTTTGCTGAGGGTCCAGCTCCGTGAATTCCTGGGAATGGGTGTTTTGCACAACACACTCGGTGCACGTAGGAAAACGCATTTCTCAGCATCGCCGTGGCAGAGGGACAGGATGTTTGTGCCTTTAATAATCCACCTGTGTCATCGAGCCCCTAAACGTGCCAACCAGACCCTAAACGTACCATCCAGACCCTAAAGGTGCCCTTTCTTGGGCAGGTGCACCCACCAGGACCCACCCTCTCTTCAGAGGGAAACGAAGCCACAACAACAGCCCACCCCAACTCTCACTCGCCCCACGGAAATAATCCTGATGTTCCCCAAACACAGGGTCGGTGCTGCCGCCCCCACCACCCCAGGGACCCCCCAAGGATGGGGGCGGCCGCGGTGGATGCTCAGACGGAGCAATTCTCATCCCCAAAACAACACCAGCTCTTACAGAGATTATTTAGCAGAAACCACGAACCACGACCGGGCTGCAGCCCGGGAATATCCATCCCGCGGGGCAGCTCTCCCGCCTGGATCAGTCTGGGAAGCGCAGGAAATGATAGTCCGCTCTAAACCTGACATCACTCTCCTGCGGCAGCTCCGGGAGCGCCAACCCGCAGGGAGCGGCTCCATCCAGGCAGGAAGGGATAGAGGCAGGGAGCAGGATACAGGCAGCGGGATGCAGGCAGGGAGCGGGATGCAGGCAAGGAGCGGGATGCAGGCAAGGAGTGGGGTTCAGGCAGTGAGCGGGGTGCAGGCAGGGAGCGGGGTGCAGGCAGGGAGCGGGTTCAGGCAGTGAGCGGGTGCAGGCAGCGGGGCGCGGGCAGGCAGCGGGATGTCGGCAGCGCATCCCCGGCCCCGCTGCGCCCCCGAGCATCACAGGGCGAGCACAAAAGCCCCGCGGCCGCTCTGGCTCCCCCCGGGGAGCGGCGGGGCCGGAGCCCACGGTGCCAGCCCGGCCCGGCCACCCGCGCTGCCGCAGCCCCCCAGCCCCCCCGGCTGGAACGGGGCTGGCCCCGGGCTGGGGGGGCTGCTCGGGGCCGGGGGGGGTCAGGCCGCGCTCGTCCCTTACCTGGTAGGAGCAGTTTTCCTGGTGAACCATCTCGGTGCATCATCCGCCGCTGCCGCCCCGCCGGCAGCGCCCGCAGCCCCGGCGGGGGAGGAGGAGGAGGATGGGGAGGAGGAGGATGGGGAGGAGGCTGCAGCCCGGGCCAGCCGGTAAGATGGATGCGGCCGCGCTGCTCCGCCTGCGCAGCGGCCCCGGGGAGCGCGGGGGGGCCGCGGCCGGTCCCGCCTCCGCCCGCACACGCAGCGCGGGGGGGGCCGGGCAGGGCCGGGGCAGCCGCGATCCTCCGCGGGGAAAGGGGGGAAAAATACCCCAAACACCCGCCGCGGACACTGCGTTATGGGAAACACTCCCGAAACAACCCCCCCAAAACACCCCCGGGCGATGCTGCGGCAGCCGCGGGTCCGGCCCCCCCGAGCCCCCGGGTGCGGGAGCGGCCCCGCGGGTGATGGATCGCGGCTGCGAGGCACCAGCTGCCCGAAGACACCTCAGATAAGGGCGAACAGGCACCTTCCCGCTGCCTTCTGCCACAGCGATCCAGCGCGGGATTTGCCGGCAGAGGCTCTGCCCTACATTCCCGGCTATTTATACCTTCTCCAGCCCGCAGAGAGGGAACGGCAGCTCTGCCAGGGCACCCCCCTGGGCCGGGCCCCCGCTGCACCCCCGACCTGCTTTAGGATCCAGGGAAATCCACGGGACAAGGAGAAACGGCCCTAAGTTGAGCCTGGGGAGGTTCAGGTTGGATATCAGGAAAAATTTCTTCCCTGAGGGAGTGGGGAAGCACCGGAACAGGTTCCCAGGGAGGTGGTGGAGTCACCATCCCTGGAAGTGCTCAAAAAAAGAGAGATACTTCACAATATGGTTTAATGGGCTTGGAGGTATTCAAAGGTTGGAACTGATGATCTTGGAGGTCTTTTCCAACCTCAGCACGAACCCCCTCAGCCCCGTTTACAAGAGTTTGGGGCTGTTCTGGCCCTGGCCGTGGTTGGGGATGAGGACTCAGCAGGTCTCCTAATTTTGGCTGGACACAGCCCATCCAAGGGGCACGAAAACACCCAGAGAGCGACAGGTTGGGCTCACCCCGTGCACTGGGCACTCTCACCCAGGCAGGCACCAGGCACCAGCAGGAATTCCAGGGCTTCCCCTCCCTTCCTTAGGCAAATAGGGCTTTATCCCGCTCCCAGTCCCAGCTGCAGGGACACACATGACTGTGAAATCCAGACACACTTGCTCGCAGAGCAGCTCAGATTTGATTCCCCACACCAGATGTGCCTTTAGAAAAAAAGGCCTTTGTAGGATCATCGCTCTGCCCCAGCTTTTCCAGCTCTCCCAGCTTCCCACCAGCACAAACAGGCTGGAGCAGCCGTGGGCGGATGCACAGAGAGTCCCTGGAGTCCCTGTGCAGCTGGGACATGGATGGAGAGAACCCCCAGACCCTCCTCCCCAGTGCCCTTTGCCCTACAGCAGGAAAGCTTTCAAAAAAAAACCCCAGATATTTCCTTTAAAAAGAAAAAAAAGTAATATATTCTGCATAAGTTTCTAAGAGAGGATGAAGTCATTGCCTGGTTTTTACTGCAGAGAATCCTACTCAATCACCTGGGTAATCAAACATGTTTTGCTGTTTCCAAACATTAAAATAAAATTCAAAAAACCCCATCAAAATAAAACATCTCCAGTTTTAAATATACCATAAATAATAAAATAAATATAAATTAAATATACCGTATAACCTTGGGCTTGCTTTGCAGAAGTATCTGTGGCAAGCTAAAAGCAGCTCCCTGCATTACATAAACTCTAATGCCATTTATTTTGTGCATCACAAGGAAAACTCCCCAAATTCACCCCCCCCTACTTCCCACGTGCTGATCTATCTATAACAGTGGTGACTCAGAGCTGATCCCAGTGGGGACTGCACCAACCTGGTGTGGCATGGGATGAACCCCCCAAATTATTAAACAGCTGATTCCTTTGGAAAAATGACCCCAGAGAGAGCCACGTTCACCTGCTGCAGCAAAGCCACCTGTCTGCAGCAAAGCTCTTCCCTCCAGGATGAGCCTGGGATGGAGGTGGAAAGGGCCAGGGATTATCCTCAGCCTCTGGATTTGCTCCTCTGCCCTGTATCCATTTGCATGATCCTTGCAGAAATGAGGTGGGAAGGCAGGTAATAATTAAAGCAGGGGGTGATTACGTTGAGTGAAAGGCTCCTGGCAGCTCTCCAGGTGGGTCACTGGGAAACTGCTCCTGGATGAAGGCAGGGAACACGTGCTGCTGATATCCTTGCAGACACAACCCAGTGGGAAGCCCCAGGGAATGCCACCAACAGCCCCTTCTCAGCTGGGAAGAGAAACCCAGGGGGTACCTGCACTGCCTGGTTTGCATTTCTTATTGGGTCACCCTCTGATTTAGGGGGTCTTTTACCACTGAGGAGACAACCTGACAAGTTTTCCTGAAGCTTTGCCCAAACCAGCTCTGAACTAGAAACATGTGGTTCAGGAAGGCCTGGAGAACATCTCCAGGGGGTCTGACACAACTCTGGCATGAAACTCTTCCCTCCAAAACCCCCCCAGGGCTCCTCCAGAGGGTCCGTGGAGATGCTGCTCAGGGACAGGGGCTGTCCTGGCTCAGTCCCCCAGCCCGGACCTGCAGGGGAGGTGACACCAGGAACGGGCCAGGCCTGATGTCCTGGATGCCTGCAGGCGTGAGGACACAAGGAATTCAATCCCATGGCACGGGCAGCAGCATCCCTGCTCCTCCTCCCCATGGACACACAGATCAAAACCACACAGCTCTACCAGACACTCCAATTCCCGCAGTGAACAACAGGATTTCATTAATTATCCATCTACGGAAGGAGAAAACACCTGGTATCCCCAGTTCTGGGGGAAAACATAGAATTTCTGATTCTGTGCACGTACTTTGAGGATTTTTTTTTTTAAGCCTACATGGCACATCTCAAGTGCTGTCCCTCTCCAGCAGCCCTGTTTTCAGGGAGGCAAAGGCAGGCAGCAGAATTCCCCCTGCCAGGCTGTCCCTGCCTGCCCCCATCCCAGCCTTCTACTTTCCCTGGCTGCTGCACCTCTGCCCCGGGTCCAAGGAAATCATTAACAGGGCAGAGGGAGGGACACACCGGGGTTATCGGATCTCCCATCATCATTCCCGCTGGGGGGAAAACACTCCTTGGAAAGAATAAAGCCGTGCAGCGAAGCCAAACCCTCCCGTTCCCAGTGCCTGGGAGAGAGGGCACCCGTGGGAGGGGAGGGAAGGGAAGCAGCCCGGCCAGATTACTCACCGGGAAGCCGCAGCCAGCCCTTTTCCTGACGTGTTTCTCTTTTCTCGCTGTCCCACACATTTATTTTTACGCACACGTGTCGTGCTCTGTGCCTGAACCCCCCACCAGCTGCAGGGACTGACACAGCCCCGCACCCCCGGGGCTTTGGGATGGGGAGGAAAAGGGCAGGAGCGGCGTTTGTTCCACAAGGCAGGAGAGGCACGGCATTCCTGCTCTCCCAGGGAAACACCACAAAGGTTTTCCTGCCCACGGTCATTCCTCCAGGGGCCTTATCAGCTGGGAAGGTTTATTTTTCAGGCTGGGACTGGCCAACCCCTCTGGCTCGTACAAAAAGCCAGGCTGAATTAACAGGCTTTTTTATTTATTTGTTTATTTTTTTTCCCAGTCTCAAAATAACAGGGAAAAATGAGGGAGGAGCTGAACACCTGGGAAAACACTGTTTTGATTTTCACAGAAACACAGAATGGTTTGGGTTGGAAAGCACCTTAGAGACTGTCTAGTCCCGAACCCCTGCCATGAGCAGGGACACCTTCCACTGGCCCAGGTTGCTCCAACCTGGCCTTGGGCACTCCCAGGGATCCAGAGGCAGCCACAGCTTCTCTGGGAAACCTGTGCCAGGGCCTCCCCACCCTCCCAGCCAGGAATTCCTTCCCAATATCCCATCTAACTCTCTGGCAGTGGGAAGCCATTCCCTGTGTCCTGTCCCTCCATCCCTTGTCCCAGGTCCCTCTCCAGCTCTCCTGGAGCCCCTTTAGGCCCTGCAAGGGGCTCTCAGCTCTCCCTGGAGCCTTCTCTTCTCCAGGTGAAAATTCCCAGCTCTCCCAGCCTGGCTCCAGAGCAGAGGGGCTCCAGCCCTTGGAGCATCTCCGTGGCCTCCTCTGGGATAACAGCCCATCCCAGCAGAGGGAGATGCTCCTGCTGCCCCTGTGTCCATGGACTTGCCCAAACACAACGAGCTCACAGGGAACCAGGAATGAAACACAGCATCCCAGGATTTCAGCTTTATTTGCTGATGATTTCCTGGGAGTGAGGGATTTAGCTCCTCTTTAAGCCAAGCTAAAGCTTTCCCAGGGTTTAAATCCAGCAAGAAAAATAAAGAGAAAAGAGATTATTTTTAATCAGTTAATACTAGACATCTGCTTGAAAGGGGAGCATTTGTTTGGATTACACCCATGGATAATGTTTTAGACTATTACTTTTTTATTTAAGGAAGATGATGCTGGGGGCTTTGCCATCATTTTGGATGTGTTACTCTGCTCTATGAGAGGATAAACCTCCAATGACTTAAGAGCCCAATGTCCTTCCCTCTTCCATGCCCCTTTTACTTCCCTGGAGGTTTCTGGAGTCCTTTCCAAGCAGCACCTTAACAACTCCCCCCAGAAGAACAGGGATACCAGCTGATTAATTTAGGACAAAAATACATAATACATAATCAAACCACGATTTTCTCTTCCCTCAGAACATGGAACAGAAGGATACAGCAATTCCACATCCTGATTCCTCTGATGCACAGGATGTCAAACAGGGAACTGGAGGGAATCATTTAAGCCAC